ATAAGGCAGCTTTCTTGATAAGTCACTTTAAACAGCAGGGGGTGTGCGATAGACTTACCTCCACGTGGTGCATCCTGGGCAACGTTTACTCATACTGCAAAATATTCCATTAACCGGCAGTTGACTTCTCACTTCAAACTACAATGGCCCAACTGTATGTCATATTCTACCACTTACACAGTACTCATCCTACCTTCTCTCTGCCTTTGTGTCTGTCTACATCTTTAACACCTGTGTATCACTCTTCTGTACCCCACAACTCGACTTTCTATAACGTCGATGTTCCTCCTCCCCTCTGTGAAGCCCGAAGTCAGATAAAGGGCTAATGATAACTATCAAAATGTCTGTCATTTGAAATAAATAAATAATTAAAAATCTCATTTATTGAATTTGTGACAGTATGTATTGAGAGGAAGAATGTCATGCAGGCAAGTAGCTTAAAAATCATAGGCTAAGGTGAATGATATTCCCCGTGGCTTTCTATACGCTAATATCAAAGATAACCTTGATGAAGATGGTATTATCGACGACATAATCGCGCAGATGGAGTTGTTCTAACTCGAGAAACCTCGGTGATCCAAAGCATTGATTGCGCTCGCTAGAAGGTCGCTTCAGGTAAGCATTATTACTCGGGATTGGATTCGGTCGAATTGTTACTTGATGATCTTGACGTAGATCAGGATTAATATTCTGATCGAGGAGTTTCAAAGTTATCTTGAAAAAAAATCATAAATAAAAGGCTTGGACGGGCTTTCAATGACTATCAATTCATTGCTTGAAGCGGCACAAGGTAGCAATGTAAACTTACTGGCAACGAAAATGGCCAACTCAGTAAGGCATCATATTCTCCACGACATATACAGATAAATACCGAGAGATACTTTCCTCTAACTCGTTGTTCTCCATTCGGACAAATTGACAGGCATACTCGGTATCCATTACGATGGCTATAAAATGGGCTGGAGAACAATGTTGCCTTTCGGCCCTGTTGTGCTTCCTCAACTTTCTTTCCATAGCCATCAATTCTCCAAATAAAAGATGTCTCGAAGAAGGTCTCGCATCGTTGAAGCTTCATTTGAAGTTTCTTAAACGTTGCTTGGCTCTCACGAATTGCTTGAACCTACCAGAAAAATTTATACTACTTATAAAAATTTCAGTAGAAATAGTTCTTTTATTTATTAAATTAACCTGTATATCGAGCAAATTGCGGAAACCCTGAACAGCATCTCTCAGTAGTAGGACATGCAGTATAATTTCCTCTTGAAGATGAGCCCGAATCTCTTTTTTCCTACCTCGAAAGTTGCATCCCTGCTCCGTGAAGGGACAACTGTTCACCTGCAGTGGACATTGATTTTCCAAGTGGAAAGTCAACTCCTCCCTAGGCAACTCCTTCACTTTGCATTCATTGGGACAGGGAATGAGAAAGCGTTTGCAGGTCTCCATATGCGCGAGTAGATCGTGCATTTCAGACTTCTCTTGGCAGAACTGACAAACGACCGGCCTACGTGGACAGTCAGATGTAACGTGCTGTTCCATAAAACGCACCTGGGAAAAAATCAATGTCGAGTATAACAATAAAAAGTACCTTAAAAGAGGGAGTTTTTATTCTGTTAGTTTAGGGGAGTGCGAAAGACTTACCTCCACATGGTGCACCCTGGGCAACGTATACTCATACGGCAAAAAAGTCTATCAAACCAGCAATTGACTTCAAACTACTATCACCCCACTGTATGTCATATTTGACTACTTCCACAGCACTCACTACACCTTTTTTCTACCTTTTCTACCTTCGTCTTTGAAACACTCTTTTGTTCCCACCCCCCCTCCCTCTCGACTTTTTTTCAATTTGATGTTCCTTCCCCTCTGTGAAGCCTGAAGTCAACTAAAGGGCTAATGATAACCATCGAAACGCCTGCCATTTGATATAAATAAATTCTGTTAGTTTAAAAAAACCCTTTGATGAACTGAGTTTATTCAAGAACCAGAACCAGTCAGGAATGATGCAAGCGAAACCTCAAGGCTAAATAGGGATCCAGATTATACCTCACATTTTCACTAACTCTTTCAAACATTTCG